AGTAGGGTTAAAATGTTATTTTTATGTAATATAAATGTTAGTTTCAAAATCTAATTTAAAACCTCTAATTTAAGACACTCTCTTATAGAATAGATGTAGTTGTCTAAACTAATTGAAATTTAAATTTTGCCAACTACAGCACAAAAAGATGACAAAGAGTCAATAACCAGAAAGCTTTTGTTGAACATGAATGCAGTCACAGAATGAATGACTTGAGCTAATTATACCGTATTCTTAGCTCTCCTCACAAAATATCTAACCTTAGTTATGTTAGCCCAGAGCTAACATATTGAGCTATTGAAAAAAATCTTCTAAGTCCTGATGTATCAAAAGGGATACAGGTATTGGCACCGTTTCAGGGAGCACCTTACTGGGGCTCTAAAAACACATGGAGGCCTGTAAGTATGAACTGGGACATCTCCATCTACACTGGAGCAAAGACGCTTACATCATAAGTTTTTTGGCAGACGGAAGACGCTTAGCCCTATTTTTTAAAAATTTCATTGAACGAAAACAATAGAATGAAAAAAAATCTAATGCTCAGCTATAGACACATTATGCCTATGAAAATGCAACCAAGCTCTTAAGGCCATATGGAAATGTTATTGTTTGATTTTTTTCTTTTATATATTTTTATGTCCCAGCCAACTCAGGAAATTTCCATTCTAGCATCTAATAGCAGTATTTACAACGCATCCAATACTGCGGAACTCAGGGATGAACAGAAAGTGATGAAGTAACTGGCCTTCTGCCTGAATCCTGAGTAGCTGCAAGCTGTTGACAGTATTTGTATTATTTGCTTTATGGCTATTAACTTCACTTCTGGGTCATTCTCATTAAACCAGTATTGGGAAAATCTGTTTTGATGTTTTGAACTTAATTATAAATAAAATACAATAACCATTATGCATTCATCTTAATACCAAATATGGGCAAAATCTGAAAAAAAAAAGTAATTTTTATTTACTGATTTTTTTTTTGTTCTCTAAAGGCACTTAACAAAGACTAGATATTGTGCTGTGTTCCTTCTTTTCCAATCTCAGAAATAAGCTGATACTTTTCTTCAATGCTCTGTATTTAACCCATGAGGTATTTTTAATAAAACTATTATCTATTCAGGTAGATCACATTTCTAGAACCTGCATCATAAATGCTGAAACACCCTTGAAAGTGAGTTCAGTGTTTCGATGTATTGAAATTCTCTATGTTATTGGACATTCCAAACTTTTAAAAAATATTTTACTTTTCAATTTTGAAATAATTATATATTCACATGTACTTGTGA